GACACCTTAACAAAACTCAAACCGGGACACAGGTCGAGCCCACTGAAACCAAGGCCATTCCTGCCCACGCACAGACCCAGGCCTACAGCCCCTCCACTCATCTCAGGACGGCTGGAGAGAGAGTGGCCTGGGGACACACAGCTACTTCCCACTGGGAGACCGAAAGGCTGAAAGGCTGTGGGGGGCGCCTCCCACCCCTGCCCCACGCGGCGGCCCCACCCTCCGTGGGCGGGGAGGGGCGGGGTGGGATGGGGGGAGGCTGCGCAAGGGCTCTTTCTGGGAAGAGGCTCCTGGGCCTTCCTCGCCAAGCGCAGCCCGCGCCCCAGACCCGGAGCGCTTCTGTACGCGGGCCTCCCGCACCGGGTGGCGGGTGGCGAGGACACGCGCCAAGCACGTTTGGGGAGTGCCGTCCTCCGTACCCGTCAGCGGGAGCAGCTCAGTGGGAGCAGCTCGGTGGACGAGAGTGCTGGGAATACACTGCGGTGAGCCTGCCTGAAGACCCCGACCGGCCACCAGGCCGCCAGCCGCTCAGACACTCTGAGACTTGCCTCCCCTGTGCCCCGTATGACCCGTGAGGACTTCCTTTGAGGACTCGGACAGGGCCGGGGAGAAGGCGTGAGCGCTGCCAGTCTGAGGAGGGCCCCTGGGAGCGAGGCCTGGCAGACCAGAGGCCATCGCAGTGGCAAAGGTGGGGAGCACAGGCCTGACCTTGCTGGGGACCCTCCCCTGCTCTGCCCCCTGGGGAGGCCATGCGTGTGCCTGGGAGCACAGGCTCCTGCTGCCGGATGCCCCGGATGCCCCGGATGCCCCGGATGTCCCGGACAGCTGCTGGCCACTTGGACTGAGCCCCGTGCTCTCCTATCCCAGGGTGCCCCCGGGTTCTGATGCGCTCGGCCTGCCTGGAGTGCAGGGCCCAGCAGCCCTCAGGGGCCAGCCTGCTCCCTCTCCGTGCCCTGCAGGCTGGCCCTCCAGCAGAGGGTGGGAGACGGGCACAACACACCTGGATGATCTTCTCAGGAATGTTGGAGACGGTGAAGCCGTACAGCCGCACACGCTCGGGGAAAATGCTGGATAGGATCCTGCGGTCCAGCTGGAAGGCAATCTCCCCCACCAGCCTCTCCCAGGCCAGCTGCTTCGACTCTGGGGACAACCAGGGGTGGAGGCAGTGGTCAGGGGCCGTGGTCTGCAGCCCATAGGTGCCAGGGAGGCCTCCAAGGGCGGCAGAGGATACCCCAGGCAGTGCTGACCTCGGGAGCTGTCAGGGAATTTGCCGCTCTTTCGGTGGGCAAGCTTCCGCTCCAGCTCCAGGATGCTTTTCCGAGCTGGCTCTGCGACACGTGGACCTCGGGTGTCGTTGACTGAAGCCGGGGAGGACGAGGTTCGAGGGGGGGAGTGGGGGTTGCGTGGAGGGGAGTGGGTGGTGGGTGAGGGCAAGGTTGGGGAGTGGTGCATCTGGGTGGAGGGGTGGGGGGTGTTTGAGGGGGCATAGTTCGTAGCAGCTTGAGGGGCAGGAGTAGGAGCAGAGGGGAGGACTGTGATGGGGGGCGAGGCTGTCGAGGAGGCAGGGACAGAGGCAGGAACTGCTTGCCCCTGGGGGCCACCAGGCTGGGTCCCGACATCTGAGGTGCCATAGGAGAAGGCTGCCATGGGGCCAGGTGTGGCTGTGGTACCAGCGGGGGTGGAGGTCTGGATGGGCGCACCCACAAATGTCATGCTGAGGGGGTCCGGCTCCTGGGTTGGCTGGGGGTGCTCAATGGAGACTGGGACTAGTGGCGTGGGGGAGAGGCAGAAAGGAGAGGAGGATTAGAGCAGGGCAGACCCCTCCCCCAGGGCCCCCTGCCGCCCCTCCCCCACACTGGTTACCTTTGCAGGTGGCAGCAGGTCCCCTGCCAGCTGAGGGATGGGGTCCAGAGGGGCATCCTCGGAGTGGCTCTGCCAGCCGCACCCTCGGGGGCTCTGATAGCACCAGATTGCTCATGGGGTTGGCCAGAAGGTTCTGAGAGACACCTAGAGGGACAGCTGTGGAGGTGAGCAGGGGGCTGCTCAGAGAGACGCCCACCGAGCCTGTCATAGGGGCCATCAGGGGGCCGGTGGGGGGCAGGCCCAGGGAGCTGGCCAGGTGGCTGCTTGGAGTCAGGGGGCCAGTGGAGGGCAGGCCCAGAGAGCTGGCCAGTGTGCCCACCGGGGACACAGCCATGGGGCTGGCCAGGTGGCTGCTCAGGGGGCCAGTCAGGAGGCTGGTGAGCGGGCTGCTCTGTGAGATGGGCCCTGGGGCAGGTAGAAGCGTGTGGAGAGGGCCCGGCAATGGGTTCACGATGGGGCCTGCAGCAGAGCTGGGCTGTGGGCTGCTTAGCATGTCGGCCAGGGGTGCCAGAGTCACAATCCCCACTTCTTCCAGGACAGGTTCATTTGCTGCCGCCGGGGACGGGGGCAGGAAGACACCTGGGGGACACAGAGAAAGCACTGAGACCCCAAGCAGCCCGTCGGGGAAGGGGGCTCTCTCACCACTGTGGCAGGGCCTGGACTGGTATGCCCATCTGCCTCAGATGAGATGCCCAGCTCTCTCTGAGTCTCACCTCTTAGGTGGCTGCACAGTGACTTCTCTGCCTCCGAGGGGATCTGTGGGGCTGCTCAGTGGACACCATATGAGGGTCTGGCCTCTCTTCTCTCTATCCTGAGGACATCTTGTCCCTCCCAGGGCCCCTTCTCTAAACACCTGCCCCCAGCCACAAGGACCTTCCACCTTGCCTGCCCCTCATATGGGCCGCTGTACTGATCGCTGGCCTCTCGCTGAGGAGGGGAGGGTCTGAACACACAGGTCGCCAAGTTGATCCCTCTGTTCCCTGGTGGTGAGGGCTGCTTGACTCCTGTCCTTTTGGGGAAAGCTGGGCCTCAGCAAACAGAGGCCCTTCAGAGGGGCCAGAGCTAGAACAGGCCTGGAGCCTCACTCGGAGCCACGGTGTCTGCCAGGTCGCCAGGATGCAGACCCCTGCGTGGGGACTGGGAGCCCGCTTTTCCCCGGGGTCCCTGAGGGGACTGCCCTCCTGTGATCCCCGTTTGGGGGAGAAGGCCCCTGGGGAAGGCGCAGGAAAGGCTGTTGTGAATGCACAATTTGATTGCAAACTTCCCCGTTTTTAAACGTAAGAGCAGTACACACTTATTATAGGGAAAGAATGGAAATACGGAAAAGTAAAAAAGATGAAAAACCACTGGCGGTCCAGTTACCCCACGGTCAGTCATGCTGAAAGCTCCATGTTGCTTTGAAGACTTTGTCCCTCTCTGTAAAGAGCTGGTAGCAAATATCTCCAGCTTCCCTGGCCATCTGGTCTCTGTCGCAGCGACTCCGCTCTGCCGTTGTCACGCGAAGTCAGTCATGGACCCATGGAAGCCAGCGCGTGAGGATGTGTGGGGACGCTATTTACGGGCTCTGGTATTGGAATCTCACGTACTTTTGAGTGTCGTGAAATGTATTCTCCTTTTGATTTTCTCTCAGCCACTTAAAAATGTAAAGTCCATTCACAGCCCGCAGGCCACACGGTGACGTCGGTGCCTGTATGGTCACCGAGTCCTCGTGCGCCCCGCCTCTTCTTACTGGACCCGCACCACGGCTTCGCAGCTCCGATCTGGGAAGCAGCACTGCTGCTGCCGCAGCAGTTCCATCCGTTGTTGGGATTACACTGATTACAGCTTTCAAAATGACAAGTAATTCTACTGCACACATTTTATTATTGAGTTTTCCTCCCTGAAAACAGACATTTTAGAGGTTCTTAACGCACATTGCCAAATCTATCATCTTTAAGACCCCTCGGAAATCCCTGGGCCTGTGACTCCAGTGCTACATGGCACAGTGTATGCCAAGACGTCCTGCCACTTTATTTTCGTTTTAAGTTTTGTTATTTTTTTCCAAAACAAATGGATTTAAATTTCATAATCAAATCAACCAGTATTTTATGATTTCTTGTTTTGGCTTTTAGGAATTTTTGTTTTAGGATTAAGAGACACTAAAGCTTGTGGGCAATAGGGAGGTCACCCACAGAGAGGAGCAGCTGGTAGGGCAGGGCGCGGTGATGGGGGTGGAGATCAGAGTCGGACCTTTGTCCTTCTTGGCGTGCCTCCTCTGAGGGGAGCCTGGGATCTGGACAACATGGAAAGGGCCACTTTGGCAGCATCTTCAGACGACGAGAGAAAAGACAGCTGTGAGTCCTCTGTCCCCACACGGCCAGGTCCTTTGTAGTCTCTGTGTCCCTCCAAGACGTCTCTGGGTTTTGTCCCACTCACCACCTTGTCCATTTTCTCCTCTTCCCTCCCGACCTTCACCATCCAGGCATTCACCCTCCAGATGCCAGTGGAGGGCCGGCCACCCCAGTGCTGAGTTTGGTGCCCTCCTCACAGGTGGTGGGCACATCCATGCAGCAGAGCACTCCTCGTGGTTGTAGTCTTGTCTTGGTTTGGTGTCCAGGTTCTTGGTCACCTGGCTTCCTCCAGGTGCTGCTGGGCCCACCTCTTCTGTCCTCTAGTGGGGCAGCCCCAAGCCCCCTTGAGTCTGCTTTTACTCAGGAGCTGATACAGCTCGGGCCCTGCTTACCACTAAGACTGGACTCCAGACTCATACCCCCAGTGGCTTGACCCACTCCGTCCCAGGGTTCTGCTGGGGACTCCAGCTCCCTCCCAGCCTGCACACGCTCTCAGCAGATGTCTTGGCCCTTCCAGTGGCTCAGGCCCCAAAGGGTGCGGTCAGCACCAACACTTCTCTTTCACTCACACACCGCATCCCATCTGTACCTTCAGATATCTCCAGAATTAAGCACATGTGCCACCAGCACCCCTCTCTTGTCCATACCACCATTACTCTGCCTGGATTATTGCAGGAGCCTCCTGGTGCCTCCTGAATATGGCCTTTTCCCTCAAACGTCAGCCAGTGTATTCCAGTTAAAATGCTCACCTCTGGTTAAGATTCCACTACCTAGCTCACCGTCTCGTTCTGAGTGCCAGGCTGTTTCAGGCCCCCCATGATCTGGCCTGCCATCTGCCTGCCCTTATCTTCCCCCGGTCTCCTCCAGCACCTTCTGCTCCAGCCCCTCAGGCCTCCTTGCTCTTCCTCAAGTGCTCCAGGCACACTCTTGTTCCGTCTTTGCATTGCCTGTTCCCTCTGCCTGGAACACTCTTCCAGTGTGCACAGCTGGCCCCATACTTCCACCCACCCCTTCATTTGTGACCTCCTCAATGCGGTCTTCCAGCCAAAATCACCAGTTTTCTTCACCCGACCTATTCCTCTGCTTCTCCTGGACCATTTTCTCCTTAGCACTTGTCTCTCTCTAGGACAGTCTACACTGACTTACTGGTTTGTCCTCCTTCCCTTGATTAGAATGGACACGCCACGGGGGCAGGGATTTGTTTGTTTGCTGCTGTTTCGTAGTGCCTAGAATAGTGCTTGGGCCACAGAAAATGTTAGTAAATGAGAAGAATATGATGTTTATATGAGCAGAGATGAAGCTAAATGATTAAAAAAAAAAAGAGGTGAGGATAGGAGTTGAGGTCTGTTTGACTCAAGTTTGTGCCCCTAAGTACTGGGAGCTAATCTGGGAGAAGGAAGTGTCCACAGAATCAGCTTATAGACTGTGACCACGAGACGACCATGTGAGGTCCAAAACTCAATCAGATAATATTACTGTCTGAAGGAGCTGTGTGGTCCTTAGAATACAAAGCATGCAAGATTCATCCGGGTCTACAAAAATTAGTTGTATTTCCATATACTTGCAATGAGCAATCCAAAAATGAAATTAAGAAAATAACGGCAAAAAGTAAAATATTTAGGAATAAATTTAACAAAAGAAACACAAAACTTATACTCTGAAAACTATAAACATAGTTGAAAGAAATTAAAGAAGATCTAAATAAATGAAAAAACATCCCATGTTTATGGATTTGAACTTTTGTGAAGTTAGCGATTGTGAAGAGAGCAATACTCCCCGAGTTGATCTACAGATTTCATAAACTCCCTGTCAGAAACTAAGCTGGCTTCTTTGTAGAATTTGACAAAGTTAATCCTAAAATTCATATAGGATTGCAAGGGAGGGACCTAGAATTGCCAAAGCAATATTGAAAAAGAAGAGAGAAAACTCTTAGCAAATTTGGTATAGAAGGAACATATCCCAACATAATAAAAGTTATTTATGACAAACCCAAAGCCAACATAATACTCAACGGTGAAAAGCTGAAAGCCTTCCCACTAAATTCTGAAACAAGGCAAGGATGCCCACTCTCACACTTCTATTGAAAATAGTATTGGAAGACATAGCCACAGCAATCAGACAAAAAAAAAAAAAGAGAAATAAAAGGTATCCAGATTGGAAGGGAAGAGGTAAATTTGTCATTATATGGAGATGACATGGTACTATACATAAAAAACCCTAATGACTCCACACAAAAACTACCAGAGCTGATAAATGAATTCAGCAAGGTAGCAGGATAAAATTTTAACATACAGAAATCTGTTTCTTTACACTAACAGTGAAATATCAGAAAGAGAAAGTTAAAAAAAATCCCCTTTAAAATCAAATTTAAAAAAATACTTAGGAATAAACCTGATTATGGAGGTGAAAGACTTATATTCTAAGAACTATAAAATATTGATCAAGGAAATCAATAATGATTTAAAGAAATAGAAAGATATCCCATGCTCTTGGACTGGAAGAACCAATATGGTTAAAATGGCCGTAATACCCAAAGCAATCTACAGATTTAATGTGATCCGTATCAAATTACCTAGGATATTTTTCACAGAACTAGAACAAATAAACCTAAAATTTATATGGAATCACAAAAGACCCAGAATTGCCAAAGAAATCCTGCAGAAAAAGAAGAAAGCTGGAGGAATAACCCTCCCAGACTTCAGACAATACTACAGAGCTACAGTAATCAAAACAGCATGGTTTTGGCACCAAAACAGATACATGGATCAATAGATCAGAATAGAGAGCCCAGACATAAACCCACACACATACGGTCAATTAATCTTCAACAAAGAGGCAAAAATATATAATGGAGAAAAGACAGTCTCTTCAGCAAGTGGTGTTGGGAAAGCTGGACAGCTGCATGTAAATCAATAAATTTAGAACACTCCCTCACACCACACACAAAAATAAACTCACAATGGCTTACAGACTTAAATATAAGACATAGCACCTTAAGACTTCTAGAAGAAAACATAGGCAAAACATTCTCTGACATAAATCATAGCAATGTTGTCTTGGATCAGTCTCCCAAAGCAAAACAAATAAACACAAGAATAAACAAATGGGACCTAAATCAAACTTACAAGCTTTTACACAGCAAAGGAAACCATAAACAACATGAAAAGACAACCTACAGAACAGGAGAAAATATTTGCAAATGATATGACTGACGAGGGCTTAATTTCCAGACTATACAAATAGCTCATACAGCTCAATAACAAAAAAACAAATAACCCACTCAAAAAAGAGCAGAAGACCTAAATAGACATTAGTCCAAAGAAGTGAACAAAAGGCACATGAAAAGATGCTCAACATCTCTAATTATCAAGGAAATTTGACTTAAAACTACAATGAGGTATCACCTCACACCAGTCAGAGTAGCCACCATCAAAAAATCTACAAGTAATAATGCCAGAGAGGGTGTGGAGAAAAGGAAACCCTCCTACACTGCTGGTGGGAATGTAAGTTGGTGCAGCCACTATGGAGAAAAGTATGAAGATTCCTTAAAAAACTAAAAATAGACTTACTATATGATCCAGCAATCCCACTTCTGGGCATATATCAGGAGAAAACTAAATAAAAAAGACACCTGCACCCCAGTGTTCACAGCAGCACTATATACAATAGCCAAGACATGCAAGCAACCTAAATGTCCACTGACAGATGACTGGATAAAGAAGTTGTAGTATATTTACACAATGGAATACTACTCAGCCATAAAAAGAATGGAATAATGCCATCTGCAGCAACATGGATGAACCTAGAGATTATCATACTAAGTGAAGTAAGTCAGACAGAAAAAGACAAATATCATATGATATCACTCATATGTGGAATCTAAAAAAAATAAAAGAAAAAAGAAGACACTAATGAACTTCTCCACAAAACAGAAACAGACTCACAGACATAGTAAACAAACTTATGGTTACTGGAGGGAAGGAGGGTGGGAAGGGATAAACTTGGAGTTCAGGATTTGCATATACTAACCACTGTATATAAAATAGATAAATAGCAAGGTCCTACAGTATAGCACAGGGAACTATATTCAATATCTTATAATAACCTATAATCGAAAAAATCTGAAAATGAATCTATATCTATATCTATATCTATATCTATATCTATATTTATATCTATATCTATATCTGAATTGCTTTGCTGTACACCAGAAACTAATGCAACATTGTAAATCAACTATACTTCAGTTTAAAAAATAAAATAAAAAGAAGAAAGTTGGAGAACTAACTTTCAGATTTCAACACTTACTACAAAGCTATAGTAATCAAGACTGTGTGACACTGGTATAAGGACAGACAGATAGATCAATGGACTAGAATAGGGAGTCCAGAAATAAACCATGTATCTTTGGTCAACAGATTTTTGACAAGGATACCAAGAAAATTCAATTGAGGAAGAATAATCTTTTGAAAAAATGGTGCTAGGACTGCTGGGTATCCATGTGCAACAAAATGAAGTTGGATTCTTACCTCACACCATACACAAAAGTTAACTCAAACAGCTCAGAGGCCAAAATGTAACAGCTAAAACTATACAATTCTTAGAAGAAAACAGGGCTAAATCTCCACGACCCTGGATTTAGCAATAGATTCTTCGATACAACATCAAAAGCACAAGAAATAAAAGAAACAATAGATATGCTGGGTTTCATCAAAATTAAAAGCGTGTATGTTTCAAAGGACACTATCAAGAAAGCAAAAAGATAAACTGGGAGAAAATATTTACAAATCACGTATTGGCTAAGGGACTTATATCCAGAATGTATAAAGAATCCTTACAACTCAATAATAAAAATACAAATAGCTCAGGTTAAAAATGGCAAAGATCTGAAAAGGCATTTCTCAAAGATTATACACAAACTGCCAATGAACACATGAAAAGTTGTTCAACATCATTAGCCATCAGGAAAATGCAAATCAAAACCACAATGACTTCCCCAAAAAGTAACACAAATAAATAAACAAATTTTTAAAGATTAAAAAAACCCACAGTGAAGTGATACACCACTGCACACCCAGTAGACGGCTATAATCAGGAAGTCAGATAAGAAGCACTGGCAAGGATATAGAGAAACTGGAACACTCGTATGTTGCTGGTGGCAATGTGAAATAGTGCAGCTACACTGAAAAACAGTCTGGCAGATCCTCAAACAAACACAGTTACCATGTGACCCAGCAATTCTACTCCTAGATATATAGTCAAGAGAAGTGGAAACACACATCCACACAAAAACTTGTGCATGAATGATTATAGCATCATTATTCCTAATAGCCAAAAAGAGGGAAAAAAAGAAACAAGAAGAGAAAACAAAAGAAAGATTCTTTGGGGTCACAGGCATTTAGGGTTGCTGTGCATCCCAGGGTGGCATGCAGGCCCTGCAAGTGCAGAGCATGGGGGAGTGTGTGTCCACTGCTCAGGGCCAAGGCTGTGGTGACCTCAGTCATGGATACAGTGTCCAAGGGTTTTTGACCCATCAGGCTCACCAATGAGAATCTCAGGAGTAGCCTTGTTGAAATCTCTGTCTGGGCCATGGGGGACACTAGGAATACTAATGGTGCTACTAGACATCAGGTGTGAACAGGAGGGTTCTGAGCCAGCAGGAGCCCAGGGTGAAGCCTCTGTTTAAAACATCTCAGTCCCAATGTGAAATGTACAAGTGACGTTGTTTTCACCTTATTATAATGTATATGTAACTGATTTAGATTTGTGAGTAGAAATGTTCCTAGGTACTTTACTACGGACAGTATAAGAAATATGTATATATTATATAAGAATTATTTAGGATCCAGGAAGGTTTGTTACATTGGACAATTGAAGTTAGAAAGAAAAGTAAATGTCTTAGGTTTACAAATGCAGTATACAATGTTTTAACCCGTTTAACTGCTTCTTCCCCAAACCTGCTCCTCGCAGGGGCAGCGCCATCCTTCCCGCCGCGGAGGCCGGGACTTTGGTGGGGGGGCCCTCATCGCCTGGGTCGGGGCGTGGCCTTCACGCAGTCCTGAACATCTCCCTGGCCCGGGCTCCAGCTCTGGGCTGCAGCGGCCTCAGCAGCGGTCCCTCGCGAGTCTGCCCACCGCCCGCGGCCTCAGCTCCCTCCCTCCGGAATAAGGACGTCGGCCCCTCGAGGACGAGGCCGGGCCCACACCGAGGGCAAAGGCAGCCCGAACACCGATCCACGCGAGGAGGGAGGTGAGGACAAGTCAAGGTGGTAAGAGTCCAGGCTGTGGCCAGAGGGGACGGGACAACTGGGCGGGCCCCGAGGGGCGGGCCCAGAGTGCTGGGCCTGCCCTCAAGGGCGGGGCCCCGGGGAGGGGCGGGGCCTGCTCTCAAGGGCGGGGCCCGTAGGGGCGGAGCCAGGTGATTTGGGCGGGAAGCTGTTGCTGAGGCGAGACCCGGAGACCGGTGAGCGAAAGCGCCTAGAGCCCAGGGTTCCAAGAGGGTTGGGCGGTGGGAAGGGGGAAACTGAGAGGGGATGTTGACAGGACCTGAGGGGGCGGGTCCTGAGAGGAGACAGACGTCCCAAAAGTGAGATGGGGCCCTGAGGTCGGGTGAGGCTCTGAGAGGCAGGCGCGCTCTGACGGGGACAGGGGTCCCAGGAGAATGGCGGGCCCTGAGGGAGAGGTGGGGTCTGAGGGGGGGATGGGGGCCCTCGGGAAGGATGGAGCCGGGGGCGTCAGGTCAGCCCCTGGCGTGGGGTGCAGGGTCAGGGGTGGGGGCCCAGGGTGGGCGGTCTCCGGGCAGCAGGCCGGGGTGGGGGTGGGTAAGGAAGGCCCCGGGACTGGGGAGGAAGGGAAGCTGCGGGGCGCGGAGGGTGGGAAAGGCC